TCTCGGTAAATAATGTTACTGACAGTTATTTCTCTGCATCTTCTGGACTTACCAACAGGTGCATCATGTGTAGAGCTGAAGCGCACCGCCTTTATGCGAAAAAACCCATATTTGATAAATTGGGAGTTCAACTTTTTGCTGTTCTTCATGAGCACATAGAAGCAGAGGTATTTAGTAAGTTTATATCGACAACTTGCTATTTCAAGGGAACTATATTTCTTGGTTACTTCACATTTATTTGCATGATGTAGGTTAAAGACTTCTGGCCTCGATACTGGGGTGGTATAGTAGTCTATGACCAAGCCATGCAATTCTTTAAAGCTCTTGGAGGTGGAAAACTTCTCAAAGAAAAGTTTCTATCAGGATTTGTCTTAAATCCTCGGGCCATTGCAAATTACAAGAGGGCAAAAGCTATGGGAATGGACCATAATTTTAGAGGAGAAGGTGAAATTAAAGGTGGTCTATTTATTGTTGGCAGCGGAAAGACTGGAATAGCTTACCAATTTATCGAGAGAAACTTTGGTGATTGGGCACCTCTAGCTGAAGTGATTGAGATTTGCACTCAGTTGCAAGAAAGTATCATCTAGCTTCTCTATCGAATACTACAGCTGCTGTCCATTAAGAGATTTATTCTAACCAACTTCTCATCAACCTGATGCAGAACCAACAGCAGAATCAGAGGGAGGCCATAAATTCATCAAAGGAATAAGAACGAAGCGTGTTATGTTCCATGTGTATTCCAAAATTTAAGTTTAGTGAATTTTTATTCAAGACTCAAGAGTGCTTCTAGTTTTAGGATTGCTTTTGTTGTAGTATCCTGAGTTGTGTTACCTTGAATGGATTATATTTATAAGAATCATCAGTTTTTAATGATATTCCTTTTGAACTCTGATAGTTCAAATCTGCTCTGCAATAAGAATTAGCATACAGCTTAGATGAAAGAAAAAGAAATAGCATACAGCTTAGTTAAAGAAAAAAGATGTCGATGACAAGAAGTCAATGACCACTATTGTGCCTGCTACTTTGACAACCTAACAAGAACACTCAGGTTTTAAATCGAGTTAACAGGTTGACTAAATTTGCTGTCAGCATTGGTTTTCCACTTACAAGTATCCAACTAAGTTCTAGACATTTATCTAAGTTTTTAATAAACCTAAACACAAAGCTCTATTGTAAAGTTCCACTTACAAGTTGGTCCCTGTCAGGAACCTTGCTCGTTGTTCGAGTCTTTGAGGTTGAAAACGGGGCAGGAGAAATAGAGAGAGAAGAGAGTTAGTCAAGAGAGGGGGAGAGAGAGTTTAAACTGATTTGAATTTGAATTTTTACTTGAATGAAATCTCACAACAGTAGTCATATTTATACGCTAGTCGGGGGAGGTGGGGGCTATTAGTTACAACAGCCGGAACTACTTTGATCAAGT